ACAACAAGAGGCAAGCAAGTAGGAAGGGTTAGGTGAGGACCACAAGGAGGACAACATGGCCTCCTTGCTCCCCAAGCCAAAAACTGCCCACTCATATGCGACCAGCTAGCGGCTGCCTTGAGCAGCAAGGCCTGCCTTTGCTGGAAGCCTTATGCTTTCTGCTAGGCTTGCTAGCAAGGCCCATCATGGTTTCCCGCAAGCACAAGCAGGCCTCGCACGCTAGCGGGCCGCTGTGCACTTGCTAGCAGCCATGCGGGCTGACGCTAGTCGCAGCTAGCTAGGCCCAGCAAGCTTCCTAGCTGAAATCCTTGCTAGTGTTGCTAGCCTGCCAGCGAGCTAGCGTTGCTAGCTAGCGAGCGATGGCACTACACGCGCATGCTGCTGCTGGGCTTGCACCCAAGGCCTCACATGCTATCATCCTTGCTAGTCTTACTAGCCTAGCCCTCGCATGGCTAGGCCAATGCGAGGATACGGCTATGTATGTTGACTCGATATTTGTTTTTTGACTTATTTGCACGTCTCGTCCTAGAATCGACTCGACGTTTGACGTTCGGCTTCAGCGCTCTAAGCTTGGAATCCAACGTCGGAGTACGTATTCTCTTGTTTGACGTATTAAGACCTTCGGCTTAATTGGTCGGCTTAGTTTGGTTGCACGCTTGGGTGTGACCCATTGGGTTTAGTTAAAGGAAAGCTGTGAGATCAATATAATTAATCTCACTGATCGGAGATGGCCTCTAGCCTGACTTTCCGATCACTTGACTTTACTAAAAAATTAAATTCGTAATTGATTTTGAACCCTATATCGGAATAATAAACTTGTTTGAATGACATCATTCCTTTCAATATATATATATATATATATATATATATATATATATATATATATATATATATATATATATCTTATTGCGTAAATATCGTAAAAATCTCTACTTATATATTTAGCAATGTGCCACATCATCATTTTGCGCCACATCACCACTAGCATTGCAACAATTATTCCATGTCATTATTAACTTGAAAAAAACATGCCACAAGTTTTGAACACTAAACCTCATGGATGCATGTAAGATAACATTTCTTACCATGTTAGCCAATCGTAATTTATGTACTCTATTTACGCATAAAAAAATTTATCTTTACTTAAACACAAAAAAAAAAAAAAAGATAAAGAATAATTGTGTAGTCTACAAAAAAAATAATAAATCAGAATAGCCTCAACAATTCCAAGACAATGAAGGATTATTCTCTTGAAATCCATTTTTTATTATTATTATTATTATTATTATTATTATTATTATTATTATTATTATTATTATTATTATTATTATTATTATTATTATTATTATTATTATTATTATTATGAACGTTATGTTTCAATGTAACAATTCGGTGCAACGCTCGGTTCAAACCTAGTTGTAAATTGAATGATGCACTCCATAGGGCTAAGGGCATGGATAAAGTATTATTTTTGAAACTAACCCCTAGAAAATGAGAATTATAATTAATTTAATAGAACCAGTTAGGCTCTGTCTACTTCACCTTAGAAATATAATATTTAGCAAAAATAATTGAAGTTCAGTAAAATTAAATAAGTCCAGTTTAACAAAAATAAGTTAATTTCAGTAAAGATAATTTCATTTCAGTAAAATCAGTAAGTGTAAAGAAGAATATAATAGAGAATCAGTAAAAATAATTTTAGTTCCGATTTCGGTTGTAGTGGCGAGCTTGTGATGCAGAGGGTGACCAAGACCATTGCGCTTATGGATAAGGTTGCTAAGCTTGATGATTCTCAGTGTGAGTTGTTGTTACTTAAGGCATGTACTGGAGTTTCTAAACTCTACTTTGCTTTGCGTACTTGTCCTCATAGTACTTTTGAGGAGGCTCAGCGCACATTTGACGGGGCTCTTCGATCTTCCTTGGAGCGTATTGTTACTGGTTCGGAGCTTGGGTTTGGCGATTGGCGGTGGCGGCTTGCCACCTTACCATTTGCATTTGGAGGGCTTGATGTTTATTCCGCAGGTGATGTTCATCATTATGCAGACAAAACTCCTACGGGATGTTGACATTGTTGGTCTTGGTCGAGCCTTTGAAGATGCGTTGAGTCTGTTTAATGGAACAGTGGAGTATGACATTTTGTGTAATCCTAGTGAAGTCGCTGCCCCTAAACTCATGAAGAAATTGGCAGATGTATATTTCACAAAGGTTACCACTTCTAGCTGCAGAATCTGGCTTTTCTTTATCTCTTCGACAATCAGCATTGTGTAAATCGCAGCAGGGAGATCACACATCTGTTTGGCTTCGGGCGGTCCCTATTTCGGGCCTGAGTTAGAGGATGAACGCAAAGACATACCGATGTGCATTGTGCTACCAGTTGGGTGTTCCATTGTTCTCTGTCTCGACGCCGTGCTCTGCTTGTTTAAGGGTTTTTACTGGGATATTTTCATTGATCACACAGTATCGTGTGCTGGTATTATGGGTATTAAACATTGGCATAATGTTGTTCGAGATACCCTTGTTGATATTTGCTACTAATCTGGGATTTTAGCAAGAAATGAAGTTGACATTGGGTTGTCCGGAGGGAACGACGGAGCCCTCAAACCTGCAGATGTGTTACTTTTTTTCTGGGATCGTGGTCGCGATGTATGTATTGACTTGATAGAGTCTTCTTCTTTGACACAGTCAGGGTTATCTGACTTTGTCTTGGACGGGTTGTGGCTGATGCTGCTCACCGAAAACGGGTCAAGTACGAATCTAGTTTTCGGGCAATTGGATATGATTTCCTTCCCTTCTCCTTTTTCTTCGCTTGGGGAATTAGAAAATGAGGCTGTTGCGTGCGTTGTTGAAACGGGTTCGGAAGTTCTCGATGACTCAGGACATTGGTGTTCGTACTACTGCACATATTTTCACTAGGATAGAATTTGCTATAGCTAGAGGAGTGGAGGCCCATATTGTTTCTCGGCTTCCTACTAATTTTTTATGGGTTGTATGACTTTGTCTATTTTTGAGAAATAATAATAATAATAATAATAATAATAATAATAATATGCGAAAAATGCCCATTATCATTTCTCTCATAATTTGTTTCTATTTTTAGCGAAGACATAAAATAAAGGAAGCGATGTCAATATTCCATTACCTCGATCTCTCGTACTCCCTCCATGCATAATGGATTAATAACACTAAAATAAAGCAACATATGTAAATACGAAGTAATACATATCGTAATACAAGAAGTAATTTTATTGATATGGTCATGGACTGTAAGGGGTTATAATTCTTGCTGTAAATACCGGAGAAGTCCCCGTAGCAGTAGAAACCTCAATTTTAACGCCATCCTTGTTGGTCACTTGGTCATATCCACTATTTTCCAACTTCTTTACTACATCAGACCAACGACTATTGAAACTCCCAGACGAACCTACATCACTGTAAGCCTGCATAAACAAATACTTCGTGTATCAGATAAAATATTTAAACGAGTAGATGTAATACTACATCCGTTATCATTTGATCTTAACCGACCTTATAAAGATGATTAAATGAGTGTGTGAGAATAAGAAAAAGATGATTACTGTAAATGGTAGTGAAAAAAAGTGAGATGATAAAAATTCGCCAAAAACATAATATTAAAAGCTTTTAGAAAAGTACATATCACAATAGATGGTGATGTTAATTTTTTTTTTTAAAAAATAGATTGTATGTATAAAATTGATAAATTACACATAACACTATGTTCTAGTATATATTATACTCAAAATTGCGCTCTCACTTAGAGAGAGAAGTTTATTGAGGTGTAAGGGTAGCGCAATTAATTAGGACTTGTTTGGGATCAATTTTTGTTTTTAATTTTTTGTGTTTTTGAAAATAACAAACCAAAACAAGAATTCAGAAAAAGTGTTCCCATTATTCTATTGTTAGTTTTTAAATTATTATGATTTTAATAAGTGTGAACAGTTTTTGATTCATTATATGACATACCATATGATTTTGAAACTAAAAAAACCAAAAAACTGAAAACTACAGCAATACTGAATTAACCTTTAATCATCCGATTTCCAGTTGAAAGATCAAAAGTCGACTATGATCACCAAACTTGTTCTAGGAGGGTTTTCTCCCTCCTAGAACGAGTCTTCTCATTGCCATTTAAAAAATAAAATAGAGAAAAGTTGTAATACCTTGTTTTTTTTAAAAGAAGACCAAGGGGTATCCCAAGCGACTAGAAAGTCACGGGATTGTCCACTTTTGTTCTTACCACGGAATACCACGGCCGCTTCGGACCCGGTGGAAGCACTAGTCTTATGGACATGGAGGAAGGATGCCCATTGGCCGTTCCCGATCTCGAAAGGGTACGGGGTCCGGCCAATGTAACCGTACCAATCTTTACTGGTGGCATAGTAAAGAGTTTCCCCGGTAGCGTTGTAAATCATGCACAATGTGGATGCTCCATTACCATAATCCTTCTTTACACTATCTACATACTTTCTAGCCTTAACGTTCTTGTCGTACTCATTGATCAGATTCATTGCTTCTCTTGCTCTATCTTCTTGGCTTTTGAATTCATCTACATATCTAGGCATCTCATCTAACTTGTCATCATCAACCACTTGACCAAAGGGATTCGCCATTTTTCTCTTATATTTTTATTTTTTGGTGGTTGTTTGGGAGGGGTGGGGAGGGTTTTAAAAATCTCTCAAGTCGCTAGCTTTTTTGCCTATTGTTGTGCAAATGCACCTAATAGTATTTATAATGATGTGTCCAATATACTGTTCAGATGAGATTTGAAAATGTGAGATTAGTTCTTCTCATGCCACTGTTCATATCATATTAGAGGACTAATTTAACCAAATGTTTTACTGGTTAGAGTCTTTGGATTAATTTAAACTTAATAATATCTTTTGATATGTTTTTATATAATAAATTTTATATTGTTATAAGTAATGAGAATTTCTTTGCAAGTAGGGCGAAATTGGGAATTCCATTTGCTTGGGGTGAAAATCGTACACCTTTCACAGGAGGGTCTCCAACTAACTAGGCCAACCTTTATTTTCAATCAAGAACGAACATAGAAGTAGTATATATATGAACTATTAAGCTCTATATCATTACACATTTAGCCAGTGTAGTGAAAAAGGAGCTAATTTAGCTAATATCAATAATTAAGAGAAGAGAAGAAGAAAAAAAAAAAAAAAAAAAAAAAACCTATTTTTGCCAAGGAGGATGAATCCCTTTGGTTCTCCAATTACAGATCAAACCTTGAAACAAATGTCAAAGTATAGAGGTAAAGAAATAACACAAGAAGATAGAGCGAGAGAGGCAATGAGATTGATCCATGCCGAGGACAAGAACATTAGTGCTCTTGAATATGTCCTCGGTCTTAAGTCCGACTATGGTAACGGAGTTTGCACATTATGCCTTGTGTATAATGGTACAGGGGATACCCTTGAAGTTGTAGAGAAGAAGGATTGGTTGGGTTATGTCTATAAGGAGAACCCACCCAATTCCTTTCAAAACGGTCAGTGGCTCGCCTTCTTGCACGCCCACCCAACAGCACAGGCTTACGGCTCGGAAGCTGCACGGGTGTATCGTGGTAAGAACATCAAAGGAGAGGTTCGTGACTACATGATAGCTTGGTGCACCCCTTGGAGTACCACCCAAAACTCGGTATGTAAATATTATCTGATTATATGTATCAATTTAATTACACTAACATATGTTTTTTATATGGAGTTTTGTTAGTTTTTGCATAAATGAAATCTTTATCATCAATTTAAAGAATGTTTGATTGTATACATATGAAATGCAGGCTTATACCGAGGTTCGTGAAGAAGGTCACTTTCCACAGTATTGGGATTATATCAAATCTAGTCTGCTCGAAAGGGCTAATAAAATCACAGTAGACGACACGAGCGACAAAAATTGTGCATCAGCTGTGAGTATTGGTGGCATCACTTCACCCGAATTCATCGCAATACTCAAGCACAAATTTAGTCCAGAGCCAGCAAAAAAATAAAAAATAAGATGGAATTTAAAGATCTTATGTTATCAAGTTTTTTCATATTTGTCTGTCTTATATTAATGTAATTTTTCTTTGATCTTTGTCTGTTTTTATGTATTGTTTCTTAATAAATTCCAGCAGTAGTACGTAATAAACAGAAACAATTGTTGTGTTCCAGTGTGAAACTAAACTCTTTCTGTTAGAGTCTATGTGAATGTTGTTTTACAAAGAATGTTAAATCATTCATAGGAGGTCTAATAAAGATAATGTTGTTGTGTTCTATATTTTCCCATAAAAAATTTATTGTTGTTTAATCGACCAACTCAACCAAAAGTTTAAGTTGATGGTTGAAGCCCAATGTTAACTTATATACATTATCACGCCCTCTCACATGAGAGCATGTTAAGCTTGAAATGAGGATGCAACTTGGATATCCCCATACCGAGCACGAAATAAATTCCACTTAAGTGAAAGGTGGATGAGATTTTGAACCTGTAACAATTCCACTTGAAAGAAGGGATGATGAGATTTTGAACCTATGACCTCTTTGTCACGCTAACTTTGATACCAATCATGTTAAAGGACTAACTCAACCAAAAACTTAAGCTAATGACTGAAGCCCAAAGTTAGTTTATATACTCTATCACTTTTATGATTTCTATATGAATTCATACTTACAGTCTTATTTTTGTAATCTTAATATTATATCTTGATCGATCTGTAGCAGGATATATAGAGAAGAAATTTAGGTCATCACATACATGTTTCAACTTTCAAGTAGTTTCATCCATGAATCATGAGTTTATCTTATCTTACTTTTTCAGTTCTTTTTTACTTTATTCAATGAAAGACTATTAAGTAGCTACAATGAATAAAATGCATGTCACTATAATCGTTTTCAATCTCAACCCTTATTAAGGATCAATCATGTCCATTCATAGATCCTTACATGTAAGTTATAAATAAAAAAAATAATAATAATAATTTTTTTATTTTAAAGAGAAAATACAATTTTAGAGCTAATATATTGCTTTCTCCTATAAATTTGGTTTTTTTTTTAAAAAAAAAATAAATTTAAAAAATAAATAAATAAATAAATAATAAAAAACAGCACCTTTGATTGTTTGATGCAGTTTCAAATTTCAGGTTTTCTAACTTCCACCTTCAAACTAAATCTCTATTAAATATGTATGGAATAACAATTAATTAACATGGTTAGGATTTTTATCTTTATTTTTATTTTTATTTTTTATTTTTTTATTTTTTTTTTGAGGAAAATTAACATGGTTAGGTTACGTATATAAGTTGTTATGTTATTCCATCAAATAATTTTGATCAATTACGCATCATATTCTCTACCCAACAAAAAAAAAAAAAAAAAAAAAAAAAAAAAAAACCATTCATCGATCATACTAATTATTATTTGTATCTTCTTCACACACCATACCACCATATAAATAACAAAATTGTTCTTCAATTTTCATGAATTTATAAGAGAGATAGAATATTAAGAACTACGTACTTATAAGGATATGAATGGAAAACCAAATGGATCCATGAGAAGAAGGAAGTGTTGAGGATGAAATAATAATTAACTGATTATTCAACATTACTACAAGAGAGTGAGGGATTGCTTAGCTGGTTAAGCTTCCCTCCCAGTTTTAAGGGATTCTAGGATAATTGATTCTCATCACATATTCTTGCGGCTCTTTAAACACCAACCAAAAAAAAAAAAAAAAAGACAAAAAAAAATAATAATAATAATAATTTAATTTTTTATTCAATTTTATTTATAACTATTTTTATCTATTCAATTAAATAAGTGGCCTAGATTTAATACTTTCTCTGTTTTTATCTACTTGTAACACACTATTTTAGCACGTACTTTAAGGGAAGTATTAGACTAGGCAAACGGACAAATTACTTGATAAAATTTACCACTAATAAGAAAAAAGTGATAAATGACTAGGTTATAAATTTTATAGCTTAATTCGTTCGTTTACTTAATTTAATCACTTTTTTAAATAATGTACCAAAAAGATATGTTGCAAGTATAAAAAAACACAATAGAAGTATTAAATATTAACAGAACATATTCAAAGATTATTACAATAGCTACAAATTAGGTGGAGACATATTAAACAACCTCGCTAGGTGGGACTGTCCAAAATAGATGCCATTTTGGATATGATGCCTCCAACTAGGCTTTGGTGTCTATTTTAAACGTACCGTACCATTGATTTTGGTTTTTTAATAATAAAAAAATTTCCAGTCACCTACAGCGGTGATGGTTGTGATTGCGAAAGATCCGATTAATAATATAAGGATCCTATTACAAATGATTCTCCAATTATTTGAACCAAATAGCTTTTGTCACGGTTTAAAAAAAAAAAAAATAAAATAAAAGCTTTTGTCACTATTTTCAAATTTTGGTGCATGAAATTGATTGGTGAGAAAAATAGGAGGACCACATATAGTGTATTAGTAAAATATATAAAAAAGATATCTTAATATACGAAGCAGAATTTACTCTTTTTTAATCACAATGTTTGAAGAGTTACAAATTAATCGTAGTCACAAAATTTCATATGTGGTTGGCTACATCGTGGGATCGAGGTTACTTATTCAAGGATTACTTGATTAGGGATTACTTGGTGAGGAATTACTTGGTTAGGGATTACTTAGTTAGGGTTTACTCGATCGGGGGTTACTTAGTTAGGAGTTGTTCGGTCGATAAGGGGTTACTTAATCAGGTGTTACTCAGTCAGTAACAGGTTACTTGGTCAGGGGTTATTCGGTCGATAAGGGGTTACTCGGTCGGTTAGGGATTACTCGATCAGTCAGAGGTTACTTGGTTAGGAGTTACTCCATCGGTTATGAGCTACTTGGTCAGTGTTTTGGTGTGTATCTGCCGGCCACACGGTGTGGCCAGCCACACAGAAAAAACACTAATAAATTATAATTTTAATTACTTTATTTACATGCCCATTGATTCTTTCTATTTCTCTTTCTATCACTCAATTCTTTCTTTATATCTCTCATCTCCTTAAATAATGTGCATTTCCTCCACATTCCAATTAAAAGAGAAATTAAAGGAGAAAGTAATACTATACATTCAAATAAATCTTACAAGATCCGATATGCAATTAGCCGACAAGGAAGTAAAAGTCATCATAATTATTGTAGGTACCGTCTAATATTTTAAGTAGAAAAATTTGCCAATAAACATTATAATCATTGATCTTGTAAGGCTACAAACATCAAATGGTATAGGTTTCTTATATCTTTTGTAATTTTAGAATTAGACTAGCTAGAATAGTGAAACGTGCTTTAGTGATTTGCAAAATTAATGTATGTTAGTCGAATGGCGAGGTAACATGTATGTTATACACCTTCAATTCAATCCCTTTTTACTTTATTTATTTATTTAACTATGTATTTAAGGCGTACTAATCTACCTACCAATTCATTTTGATAAATTATTTCTCTTTTCTTTTTCTCGCTTTAGGTCTCAAATTCAGAGGCCCATCTTTATCTTTACTTTTTGACTCCCTTAAAATCTCATGTAAAAATGTAATGGAACAAGTAAAATAAGGGAGTATCAACTATCAAATTAAACATCAGTTTTAGATGGTCATGGAATGAGCTGAGATAGTAGGGCTTGACAATTAAGTTAAGTGAAGCATGCTATAGGCTAGGGATTTGGTTAACATGTTTGCAATAAAAAGCACCTAACCCCATTTTTTTTCATAACACTTAGACTACATTTAGTTCTCCTTATTTTTAGTTATTTCAGATTAGATCAAAAATTAAATTTAAGATATGATCAATTTAGAATAAATAAGTTCTAATCATGCTTTATTGTTTTATATGCATTTTTATGCTAAATGTCTATAATTTAGTAGCTAAAAATATTATGAATATTACATATTATTAATAAAATAAACATTATAACCTAACAAAGATTAGCGTATATATATGGTCAAAATTTAGTCAAATCAGACAATTAAAATAGATCAGAAAAATAAGTTAAGATCTGATCAGATTAGAAGCAAAAAATAAGGTGAATTATAACCTTAAACAACACCACAATGTTTACCTTCAATTTAATTGTGAAATAAACATGTACTAATACATTAGAGATACTTATTTTAGCAATCCAGAAATCATATTAACTCGCATACATTTTTTTATTATTGGAGAGTTGCATTTATCACTCAGCATATGGACCGTACATCGTAGAATTAAAATTAATTCAACTGTCGTGTGAGATCTCATTTGCAATGGCCATACCATTAGGCATGGTAGCTGAATAAAACTTGAGATCATCCAAGTTAGGCGGCACTTTACCACCAGTCCCTAAGATGAGTCCAAGAATCGCACCAGTCGCGGCAGCAAAGAGAATGCCAACCACAGCACCAACCACAAACCCAGCCATCGAAACCATCAGAACACCCAATTGTGCATTTGCTACTACAGTTCCTACTGCAGAGCTAACAGCCACATTTACAGCATAAGAGACTGCGCCTGAAAGCACTGATACGGCGCTGTTTAATGCAGACTCAAGCTTGTGCTCGGCTGTGAAGATGTCCCACGCCATTATGCCTGCAGTTACTGCCATCGTCGCAACCCCACCTGCTGTTGCGCCTGGAGGCTTGCTCCTCTTGTACATGGTTGGGATCTTTGCACGCCCTGATTCCACTATGATGCTATTGTATACCTGTTTGATGAAGTGGAGTTGATCTATGTCAGTAGAACTAAATCGAACAAACAAAGTATACTAATTTGACTGTTTATATATCGTACATTGATGTATTATACGCAATTAGTGCCTAATAAAAGACTATCGTCTGTTGTTCAGCACAACTAGCAGCAAATTAAAAAAAAAAAAAAAAAAAAAAAAAAAAAAAAAAAAAAAAAAAAAACAAATAAAAATATTTTCGAAGTAGCTAAGTGTGAGTAGTTACCTCAAGCTTTTGATCTTCTTCCAAAAATTCAAATTCATCTTTATATCCAAGCTTGTTCTTGTGCCTGAATTTAATATTTGTGTAAAAAAAAATAGATACATATATATTAGCTTGTACTTTAACACGTCAACAATTATTGTAATGTATTAGAGAAACATGTTTATCAAAGGGTTGGATTAGATTGCAGTACCTGCTAACAAGGTTTGGAAACTCAATGCCTTCTAGCTTAAGTGCATCAGAGTAAGCCTTGGAGTGAGCACGAGACGTGCCACTTCGCAAGTTCGTAACATACTCCCACATAGACTTCTTGTAATAAGACACTTCCTCAGCAAAACTTTCAATATCATTGACACCCCTGGAATCAACCATATTAAGTTCAGTGGCCATGTCGTCGAAGTGTGTCTTAAGGCTTTCGACGACAGTCACTCGCATACCACAGTTCTGGATACACTGCAGGCCCATGTTAATGCCATACTTGACATAATCCTGAATATCTGTGGCTATGTTCGCCTTCAAATTGTCAGTGTCCCTTGCTGCCTCATGCTTGTCGCGTAAATCAGTACTTATTTGTAGCAGTGTGACAACAATGTCATAAGCATTGTTGCATTCTTCAAGGTACTTGGCGCGATCAGGCTCCGATTTGATGCTTTGACTGAGTGGCTCTTCCTGGTTCCTCAGTAGTTTTGCAAGCTTTCGTAGTTGTTTGTCCTCCATCAACAACAGAAGATCGTCCTGCGCTCGTACCTCGGCCATATTATATTTTGTTGTTTGATACTTCAGTGATACAATCCCATGAAAAAGAAAGATGAAACTTGTTAAGATTAATATATTACAATAAGTAATTAATCATACTTGAAAATAAATACTATGAACATCAATGGATAATTGGATACTAATCTTATTATAGTAAATTTGGTGATTAGTAATTTAGTAGACTGTAGACTACAATTTATTTTTAGAAAAGCAAAGAAAAAACAGAGCACTTACTGAAGCAAAATAAAAGAAAGCAGAATGTGAGAAGTGGTGGAATTGAAGTAGTAGCTATTACTCAACTAATCAAGCACGCAAGTTATTTATAGTAAAACATAACTACATCATTAGGGGAATACTAACCTAAGATAACATGATTTTATACTACATTAGTTGATTAGCTTTAATTTTATTCTGGCTAATGTAAAACACAACTACATTAAGCAGAATACTAACCTAAGTATTAGATATAGTACAAAATAGGGGAAAAAAATATAAAGCAACTCCGATTTCAAGAAATTTAATAATTTATAGGAAATTTTGATTTTTAACCAAAAAATAAAAAATAAAAAACTGAAATTGGTTTTTAACACCACCACATAAAAAAATAAAAAAAATAAAAAATATTTTAACACCACCAAAATTTAAAAAGTTTGAATTTTACCACTATTTAACTGATTCCATCCAATAATTTGTTAAGTGGGGCCATAGTGCCACGTATCGCTTTGTTATTGGCCAAAAAAAAGAAAAAAAATTAAAAAAAAAAAAACTACCCAGCCACCCCAGCTCCACCACCGCCCAACCACTGCCACCCTCTTCTTCGCCCCCCGCCCCATCGTCGGCACATCCCCTCCCCCAGCCTAAACCCGCCCCACCGAAACTCTCCCCCTCCCTCTGTCCTAAACCGTCCCAACACTACCAAATCGCCATAACTTAAAGCTCCCTTCCTCAAAAATTGGCCACGATTTGGCCATTAATGGTCAAAATCGGCCGGTTCAGGCCACTCGGCCACAAAAACAGCCGATTCCGCCCATTAGTGGTCGAATTCGTAGCCGTTTTTGGGGAAGAAGGGCTACAGTTTGGCGGTGTTGGGGCGGTTTAGGGATGGGGGAAAGGGAGGGGGAGAGTTTAGGTGGGTCGGGTTTAGGCTGGGGGAGGCGATGTGCCAGCGGCGAAGTGGGGGTCGCCGGCTGTGTTGGGTGAAGGTGGAGAAGAAGGTGGCGGTGGTAGGGCTGGGGTGGCTTGGTAGTTTTAGGAATTAAATTTTTTTACTTTTTCATTTAAACTAATAAAATGGTAACACGTGTCACTGTGGATTCCACTTAACGAATTTTTAAACAAAAACCGTTAAGTGGTGGTAAAATCCAATTTTCTAAATTTTTTGTGGTGTTAAAGTAAATATTTTTTTTTTTTGGGTGTTAAAAACCAGTTTCAGCCTTTTTTGCGGTGTTAAAAATAAAAATTTCCTAATTATAATCTTCGAAATAAATAAATAAATAAATAAATAAATAAACAAAAAAAAAACCATGTATATCTAGGTGGCATATCTTAGAGTTGAAATGAGATATTACATATGTAGGTCAAGGGTTCTTTACCCGATTCGTATACCTAGGTGGCATATCTTAGAGTTGAAATGAGATATCTTAGAGTCTTAGAGTTGAAATGAGATATTGTATACGTAAGTTAAGGGTTCTTTACCCGATCGATATCAAAATTTCTTCGTATTCTTATAAATGTTAATCAAATAGACCAAATCACACTATAGAGAAGAGAATGTTAGCAAGAAATGACTTAGTAGAGTTCAAAAATCATACAAAAATAGCTATGGAATAGGGAGAAAATATGGTATAAAACTTGTACATCACTTGTTAAGTGCAAGTGTAAGTGTTGTTTGTCCTACATTGAAAAAACAATAATGTAAAGGGCTTTGAATTTTTAGAAAAAATTGATTTAAATAATCCAACCTTTACCCGATTTGTTTTTAATAATCTGACCTTTTATGAATATATAATCATCAAGCTTTATACCCCGATCTTTTTTACTAGGCCAAAATGACCTGTTACCTATTCTTCATGTAATTTTTTCCCCTTATTAATAGAACAAAAAAAAAATAAGAAAAAAAAAACCCTCTCTCTCTCCTCCTTCTTCCAGCCACCCTCCACGTCCCGTCTTCCACTCTGCTCGCCACTCCCTTCCCCCCCTGCCATCCTGCCCGAACTCCCCATCAACCACCCAACCCCGCATTGTTGCGAGTAGTGTTTCCTATTTGAATTGGTGGCTTTCGGTGGGCGATTCTGCTACGCAAGGGGTTGTGAAGTGGAGTGTGGTAGATGGTGTTGGTGCTGGGCAACAAAGGGCTCACAGGTGGTGCGATGTTGTTGTTTGGTGCGTGAGGGAGCGGTGGGGGGATTGGTGGCGACAACTTGTGGTTGCTGCCGGTGGTGAAATGAGAAGAGGGTAACAGCGTGTTGTTAGGGGAGGAGGTTTCGGGGTGTGCCAGTGTTAGGGGAGGGGGTTTTGGGTTGTACCGCAACAACAATTGGGAGGGGGGTAGAACCTAACCACTCGATCAAAAATGAGCCCTAGATCCGGATTTGCCCAAAGGGGGAATTGGGTGGAACACCAAAAAAAAAAACTATGTGGATTAGGTTGATTAGACTATGAACTTTACAGGCATTCGTGATTTTTAGGTGGAGTCTATGTGCGCATTGAGGATCACAGGATGGATCCACCTAGTCTAGGTTTCTTATAAAGTTTTATTATTTAATGTTTAGTACTCAGTAACAATAGTTGGTTGTGATTAATAATAAAGTAAGGTTGTTTTTGCGCTAACAAGTTTAGTATTATAGTGGTTTTCTTAAAGTTGCCTAGTGTAATCATGCGGCAGTAATACGCCTAAATATATCTTTAAAGTATTCTATACGTATTATTTTTAGTATTTTGGTAGAGTCAGATTTGTGGGTGTTACAGTCAACGAAAAACAATGAACAAGAAGAACAAATTAACCTTACAAACAGAGGAAATTCAGTGTGGCGTAACAATAATCATTGACTTGATAGAAAATGAATTCTTGTGCAATTGAGGTGCTCAATTATAATCGATCGTCGGCATGCTCTCTAGGTTGATATACCTCTTACGCAAAGACACTTTTGGGTGAGAGGTTGATGTGAAAGAAAAAATTAACAAGAATAATCCCAACTATTGCTTTCCTTCTCATTTTAATCCCAACTATAATTTAATCTAGATAATCCCAACTATTTGGTGACTCTTCACAAAATAGTCTCACACATTTGTTAACCTATTGTTCAGGTAAAAGTGTGATGTGTGAAGTTGGTATTGGTTAGTGTTTTTAATAATAATAATAATAATAATAATAATAATAATAATTTAAAAAAAAAATACCTCCTCTTTTTGCTTCTCTAATCACTGCCCATATCTACTGTATATCTCTCGGTAACTTCATTCCCTTCCATCAAAACCACTTTCTTAGCCACCCACAACCACCAAAACCATCATTCTAGCCAAACCCAGCCACCAAAACCACCATTCTAGCCAAGCCCTGCCATCGGAACGTGGAAAACCACCATTTCATTATGCCCTGCCATCGACATACATGTCAAGCCACCGAAAAAGCAACCGAATCACTATTAGCCTCCATAACCAGAGTTAAATCTTGAGACTTGGAGCATCAACAATTATTCAATTAAGGCTTGGAATTATTTAGAAGCAACCCAACCAATTAAATTATGAAAGTGATAATAACTTCTTTGATTATTTGGTTAATTTTGAAATGTAATTTTAAAAATAAAAAATAATAAATAAAAAAAAAAAAGTATTTAATGGAGGAAAATGTATTATAGAGATGGTATGGATTGGGGAGGATAGAGAAAGGGAAATCTGTTAGCCAATTAAGGTCCTTCAATGATGGTAAGGAGATAAAGAAAGGTGAAATATAAAAAGAAAAGAATGAAAAAAAAAAAAAAAAAATTACCAGTAAGAGAGGTAATAAGTAAAGGAGAGTATTTTGAGAAGAATCACCTAATAGTTGGGATTATTTACAGTTAAATTGTAGTTGGGATTAAAATGAGAAGGAAGTTAATAGTTGGGATTATTTTTGTTAATTATTCCAATGTGAAATTAGCTTATGCCTAAAGGGATGAAGTTAGGGGTGGGACTTCGGTCAGGTGGTTTGGTTTGACCTCGGTTTGAGTCGGTTTCGGTTTGAAGCGGTTCGGGTTGAAACGGTTTTATTTAGCTGACGGGTCGGTTCGGTTCGGTTTTGATTAGTCACAAGTCGATTCGGTTTCGGTTTATTTCTTTACGGTTTAAATTCGGTTTGGGTCATAAGCGGGTCAGTTTATAACCGGTTTGGACCATGCCGGTTCGGTTTGAAACGGGTCGGTTTAGGGGGCGGGATTACCCGGATCAATGTCGATTCGGTTTATAAATAGTTCGGATCATGCCGGTTCGGTTTGAAACGGGTCGGTTTAGGGGTGGGTTTACCCGGGTTAATGTCGGTTCGGTTTATAAACGGTTCGGATCATGCCGGTTCGGTTTATAAACGGTTTGTGTCATGATCGGATCCGTTTGAAACGGGTCGATTCATGGACGGTTTTACCCGGTCAATGTCAATTCGGTTTATAAGCGGTTTGGGTCATGCTTGTTTTAAAGATCGCAACATGACCATGATTTAATGAGTTGACAATTAGAATACGATAAATCGATAATTAAGGAAGTACAAGTATTCAATTAGATCGATCAACAAGTGTTTTAAATTTTAATAATCAGATATGTTTATCGATTATATGTACATACCAATGACTAAATGAGGCAATGATAGTATGATACCAATCGTACATTCGTACCATATATTATTATTTGTTACATATACAAATACACATATAATGATATACATATACATTAACAATGTCGTGTTGAATCAATTTCAATTTCCAAACATTTGCATTTCTTATAATTTATAAGTTACACGAGGTTAAATGGATTACTTTGTTACTTTATTTAGATTACTAAGTCAAACAGCCTGATAGGCTAAATGGACGAAAGTCACTAAAGTGTTGATGAAATCATTATGCAGTACTAATGTACAAATATACAGCGGTTAGATTGAATGCCCATGAAAATCAACGGTTAGATTTCATTAAAAACTAAACCTACCAAACTAAACCCTAATCTACTCATAATCTTTAGTCTCTATTATTTATTAGTTATTATTACTTTAATAGTTATTACTTATTAGTTTATTACATATACAGTCACAGACTCACAGATATATACATACAGAGATGTCAGATATTGATATATAACTATGTCGTATTGAATCAATTTCAATTTCGAAACATTTGCATTTCTTACAATTTATAAGTAATAGCTTACATACTACATTATATAGTTTGTTGGATTAGTTTGTTGCTGTATTACCTACCAAACTAAACCCGACCCTAATCTACTCATACTCTCTAGTCTCAAATATTTATTAATTATTATTACTTTATTAGTTATTACTTATTAGTTTATTACATATACAGTCACAGACTCACAGATATATACATATAGAGATGTCAGATATTGATATATATTAACTATGTCGTATTGTATCAATTTCAATTTTGAAACATTTGCGTTTCTTACAATTTATAAGTAATACTACGTAACTTATATACTACATTATATAGATAGTTTGTTGGATTAGTTTGTTACTGTATTTATATTATTAACTCAAACAACTTAAAAGGCTAAATGGATGAAATTCACAAAAGTGACGAAACCATTATATAGTACAATTGTTAATATGACAACGAAGTAAGAATCGTTTAAAGCTCAATTACGGTAAACTATAAACTGCAATTTTCTCGATAATAATTATAATAGTACTACGAGTAGTAGTAGTACTAGTAGTAGTAATAATAATAATAATAATAATAATAATAATAATAATAATAATAATAATAATAATAATAATAATAATAATAATAATAATAATAATAATAATAATAATAATAATAATAATAATAATAATAATTTCGGTGATCACGCGGTGTCGTGTGCTAGTATTGTGGGTATTAAATATTGGCATAATGTTGTCCAGGATATCCTTGTTGATATTTGCTACAGATCTGGGATTTTAGCAAGAAAGGAGGTTGACATAGGGTTGACTGGAGGAAATGATGGGGCCATCAGACCTGCAGATGTGTTACTTTATTCCTGGGATCGTGGTCGCGATATATGTGTGGATTTAACAGGGTCTTCTCCTTTGACACAGACAGGGCTATCTGACTTTGTTCCTAGACGGGCTGTGGCTGATACGGCTCATTGAAAGCGGGTGAAGTATGAAGCTAGTTGTCGGATGATTGGATATGGTTTCATTCCCTTCTCCTTTTCATCGCTTGGGGAATTAGAGAAGGAGGCTGTTGCGTTGCTGAAACGGGTTCAGAGGTTCTCGGCGATGCAATACATTGGGGCTCGTGTTGTAGCTCATATGTTCACTAGGGTAGGCTTTGCAATAGCTAGAGAAGTGGGGGCCCATATAGTATCTCGGCTTCCCACTAATTTATTGTAGGTTGTATGACTTTGTCTGTTTTTGAGATAATAATAATAATAATAATAATAATAATAATAATAATAATAATAATAATAATAATAATAATAATAATAATAATAATTTTATGGGTTTTTTTTTTTTATATAAATACATTATTATTTGAAAATTAATACGAAGTATTAGTTTATTGACTAAGTTTGATTGTTTGTCTACCATCGGATATTCATTATTTCATCTCTTTCTTATATATCTATCTCATTTAGCTCTTGTTCAAATCAATTAATCACCTCCTACACCAATTATCGACCCACACTAATTGCATCCGTAACCCACATCAACCGTCATACCATCGATCGATTGGCATATCTACTGATATTATGTCAAGAGATATTATATTCCACATATATAATTATGTTGGTCTCTTCCTTTAATTTTGGGATGTTTAAAAGTTTTATTTTTAAGTTTAATAAATTTTTTTTATTAGTTAGAATTTGATGTGCTTCAGTGAAATGGTGACGATTTAAATTATGTAGTATGTAATGTCTAAAAATAATATGGTGAAAATGTTCGATTAAAAAATTGGAAAAAAATTGCAAATTAAGCTTGCAAAAATAAATTTTTTTTAAAAATAAGCTAAAAAAATAAATCAATAAAAAAATTGTTCTAAACCCGTTGGGTTGACCCGAACCCGACAATTTGGGTTAGGGTTGAACATTTCTCGACCCATGACTCGAAGTGACTAGACCCAAATGGCCCGTGACCCGGAGCGACCCAACCCGTCCGACCCAATTGACAGGTCTAGGTATGCTGCTTTGGAATCAAAGTAGTTACCTCTACCTAGAGCAGAGAAAATATAATCCTCCCCATTACAAGGCAGAACTAGGGAGTTTTTATGAGTGGTGATGTGAGGAGTAAGGAAGTGTTGAATGTGAGAGAGGTTGAAAGCACCATTTGATATGATGGAGCTAACAAATTTGTCCTCTTCACCTTGTTGGAGGGGCCTTGGAAAAGAGATCTGAGGCTCCCTAACCCAAACCAATTATCTCTCCAAAGTGAGCATTGGTCTCCTTTACCAATAGCTCACTGAGAAAAGGAGGTTAGAAGATTCCATACCTTCCCAATGTCTTGCCAAATGTGGGAACCATTTTTGAAGAGGGTGGGAATGCTTTTATGGCAGTATTTCTCTCTAAGTAAGGTTGCTGAGAGGTTTGTGGAGTTTTGCATCTTCCATCCTAGTTTAGCCATGGAAACAATGTTTTGAAGGGATAGTCTGAAGCCTAGGCCTCCTCTCTCTTTAGTGCAGCAGATTTTGTTCCAGACAATGAGGGGGGTTTGCCTCTTCTCATCAGTGGAACCCCAGAAGAAATTGTAGCAGATTTGATCAATATTTGAAGCAATTTTCTTTAGAAGACCAATAGTCTGCATGGTATAGATTGGGATGGAAGCAAGGGTAGATTTGATGAGAATGGCCCTTCCAGCCTTGGAAAGGTGTTTAGCCTTCCAAGAGTTCAACTTAACATCCTATTAATCACAAGAATTAAGAGGAGGTTACAAGGTAGAGGAAGAGAGCAAGTTGGGAAACCGCGAATGCCACCCGCGCCCAATTGAGCAACCAACATGCAACACAGTAGGGTTGCATGCACTCAGCCCGACCAGGAGAGAAGCAACATGCTTCAATAACACATGCTCTCGCGTCTGATCAGATCGAGCTCGCCTGATCGGGCGGCGATCCTGCACTAAAATTGTTCTCGTCCACAAAAAAATTGCACACTTCATGGTGGAAAACATGACCCAATCGGAACTTGCATAGATAAATCCATTAACCTAACATGACATTACCCGAGTCAGACTTAACCTATATTTACCCGACCCATACCCATCTTATACACCCGAATTGGTAGTTGATACTCGTATAACAAATATTTAATCATGGGATTTGAAAGACAAGAAGGATATTTAGAATTTGGAAGCTTATGCATTATTTTGTTAATAATACTGATTTGATTAATTAGGCTTATAGAGTTGAGAGTGATGGGTTAGTTTATCATGTATCATGATAATATTGATATTTCGTTGTGTAACAATGTCGATCTTATCGTAATCTCTTGCAGTACGTTATAGTATAAATCTATAATTCAACGAGTCCTTCAAATTTTGGATGCTGATGAACAGTAATATTTATTTTAAAATCATTGCTAGTAATCATAGATCAATACTAGAATAAATAGTAATTTTTTCATGGCAAAGCTGAGTTGTGCCTTAGACAGCCAAAAAGCATGGTTTATTGATTTGATTTTACAAAATTTTTTTTTGAATGGAAT